CCTGCTGATGCAGCACTGCAACAGCAGACCTGTCCCACTACATTTCTTTCTCTCAGTCTCCGGTTCTAACTGAGCAAGCTTAGTGGCGCCACAGCCACCAGACTACACAGCCCACAGAGATAAGCATATTCACAGGTGAGAGCTGTGCAACATCAACTCCAACAGATCTAGCACATCTCCAGCTTGTTAACGCCAGGGATGACAGGGGAGCTTTTCAGCCTTTGATTTCACTAACAGAACTGCCAACTTGAAGGGAAGATCAGCAAAACACTGTCTTACTCCCCAAAGGGATTCCCAGACTGAGGTTCACAAAGTCCTGATAAGACAGATGCAGCTGGTCCATGAAACCACAGCTTTCTTGAGGTTTTCATTAGAAGGCTGAGAAAAATGCATCATGGCCTTTGAAAAACATACGCGAGGAATCATCAGGATCCCAAAAGCCTAGGCATTGCTTTGCTCCAGACCCAACGTTACATACACCCCAGCAGCCGGCATGCAGATGCTGCTTCTGATCATCACTAACAGCCCCCATTAAGGATTCCCAACCCTGTTCTCAGTGGAAGAGATGCCACCTCATTTGTCCCAGCACTCCTCTCAAGATCCTGACTCCGTTCTTTTTACTGTTTCTTCAGCCTGTCAATACACTCTTCTCTGGCTCCTGTTCCCCCGCAAAGCAGGGACTAATGCAACAGGGCTCCAGTCCTTGGCAGGCATTTCCAGGTGCTGCCCTGTACTTTCCTTCAGCCCAGCCTGCAGTGGAAGTGAAACAGGCTTAGATGTTTCAAGCCATCTCCTGGAAATAACCAGTTGACTGGCAGCCTTTCCAAGGCAGAGACAACATCAACAGCGTTGCACAGAGGGCAGCTCAGCTTTTGGGTGGCAGTATTTCATACTGAGGAGCTCTGGGAAAGCTGGGCTCTGCTAGACTATGCTCAGAGCTCCAGCTCTGATAGGAGATAGGAGCCTTTCCCCTGAGAACAGCCTATTCCCCTTCCTAGCAAGAAGGATCTCCGTGTGCCAGGCTCCCAAAAGGAACTGGTGACAGGTTATATCCAGGAGAAAAAAAGGACTGGCAAAGAAGTAGCATCACACAATCACAAGACTGAAAATACAGCTTCAAGGTCCTCTTCTTTCCAGAAACAGTCTAGATCCTCCCAAAGACTTAAAGCCCTCAGTGATATCACCTTAAAACTGTGGTATTTCCAAAAAGCATTCACAAACTTCCTTTCAAAAAATGGTCAAAGCAGGCAGGGTCCTGTCTCCGCAGTGGAAGATTTTCTCTCTGCAAACTGCCCTGCTCTTGGGACCACATTGTGCTGAACATCTCATTTCCATGTGCTTTGCCAGCGTGTTAAAGCTCAGTCTCATATTAAAACCACACAAATGCAGTGGGCAAAGCCATTACTGTTCTTGCTGCCCTAGTGAACCTCACAGACTGGGTACCTTTCCAGTGCTACATACCACTGTCAGCTGTAGCACCCATACAGAGCCCCGTCCCGCCCCCAAACTGCAGGCAAGGGAATTGGCATGGCTTTTCCCCTCAGCAGCGTCTCCTACCTTCAGGTAGGAGCCATAGTAGCGGGTGATGTAGGGGA